AATGGTTCTTGTTTAGGCCACCACCAATTTCCATCAAGCCAAGTCTGGTCACTTCTGTTTTTTTTTTTTTAATGTCCTTACCTTAACATGCCTGCTTGATAGGGTCTGAAGCAGCAGTGCCCCCAGCCCTCCTTGATGCCTCCTTCTCTCGGCCTTCACCCACTGGCCTCGTTTCCTCCCCCTAGCTGGCTGGTCCTCCTCAGCCTGCTGCCGCCTCCGCCTCGCGTCCTGGGCCCAGCCTGGATTGGCTCCCTTCGCTATTTGTGGTGCTGTAAATGCCAGCCGGAAGTTCCTAACTCCCAAATGTGTGTGTGTGTGTCTCCAGTCTCGACCACCTGGGGTTTCCCAGGGCCTCCTCACTGTCCATACCTGCCTTTCACAGGCAGCTCGAACGAAGCAGCTTTTGGTTTTCTGCCTTTTTTTTTTCTTTGCACACACCTGGCAGCAATAATTTAAGTGAGAACAGCTCTTGGTTTTCATCCCCTAAACGTTCTCTCTTTTTTTCTTTTTTGAGGCAGGGTCTCACTTTGTCACCCAGGCTAGAGTGCAGTGGTGCAATCTTAGCTCACTGCAGCCTCGAACCCCTGGGCTCAGACGATCTCTTGCTTCAGCCTCCCAGGTAGCTGAGACTACAGGTGCATACCACTATGCCTGGTTAATTTTTAAAGTTTTTGGTAGAGACAGGGTCTTGCTATGTTGTTCAGGATGATCTTGAACTCCTTGCCTCAAGCGATGCCCCCATCTCAGCCTCCCAAAGTTCTGGGATGACTGGTGTGAACTACCGTGCCTGGCCATCCTCCATTCTTTACCATTCTTGATGGTTCCTGTCTTTCCCCACATCTCACATCCTGTCAGCCTGCCATCGAGCCCTGTGGTCCTTCCCTCGGTGTGTATCCCGTGCTGACCCTCCCTGCTTCCGGCCTGTGCCAGCAGCGCCCCTAGCCTGGATTGCTGAACAGCTGTCCACCTTGTCTCCCTGCCTTTGCAGTCTTTGCCTCTTTCAGATTATTTTCTGCATAGCAGTAAGACTGGTCTTTTTCTTTTTCTTTTTCTTTTTTTTTTTTTTCTTTTTGAGACAGAGTTTCGCTCCGTCACCCAGGCTGGAGTGCAATGGCGCGATCTCGGCTCACCGCAACCTCCGCCTCCTGGGTTCAGGCAATTCTCCTGCCTCAGCCTCCTGAGTAGCTGGGATTACAGGCACGCGCCACCATGCCCAGCTATTTTTCTGTATTTTTAGTAGAGACGGGGTTTCACCATGTTGACCAGGATGGTCTCGATCTCTTGATCTTGTGATCCACCCGCCTCGGCCTCCCAAAGTGCTGGGATTACAGGCTTGAGCCACCGCGCCCGGCTTTTTTTTTTTTTTTTTTTTTTGAGACGGAGTTTTGCTCTTATCACCCAGGCTGGAGTGCAATGGCGCGATCTCGGCTCACCGCAACCTCCGCCTCCTGGGTTCAGGCAATTCTCCTGCCTCAGCCTCCTGAGTAGCTGGGATTACAGGCACGCGCCACCATGCCCAGCTAATTTTTTGTATTTTTAGTAGAGACGGGGTTTCACCATGTTGACCAGGTTGGTCTCGATCTCTCGACCTTGTGATCCACCCGCCTCGGCCTCCCAAAGTGCTGGGATTACAGGCTTGAGCCACCGCACCCGGCCTTTTTCTTTTTTCTAAAATGTAAATTGTATCTTGTCATCGCTCTTTCAGTATCTTCATTTCAGTTTCATTCCCCACTCAGGTTTATTTTCCTTAACACCCTTCACTGCTCTAAGTCACACATACCAGTTTACTTGGTTATTATTTGTATATCCAGCTAGAATGAAAACTTGGTAGGGACTGGAATCATCTCCCTGACATTAAGAATAGTGTCTTGTTAGTGAAAAGTGCTCAGTATTTTTCTGAATGAATAACCGATTATAAGGTAGTGATGAGGGAGGTTATTTCTGAGTTCCGGCTGACATGAGGGAAAGGTCTTCAGACTTCTAAGACATTTAAGAGGAAAAACAGGCCCCAAATGCACGCGTTTGGAAGGCCTACAGCTGGGCAGTCACGTGTTCCTCGCGTCCACCATAGGCTCATGCTGCCTGACCCCTTGGACCTTTGGTCATTTCTCTTAGCTTCCCTAGCCCATTCCCCATGGGGAGCTGGGGGCTCTTCCAGAATGCCCCTTCTCTCAGGTGCCCAGGGAGCACCCCCATCTCCCTCACAGGGGAAGTACACATTGCCTCAGCTCCTCCTTGCACCTTAGGATCCCTCTTGTCCTCACACTGGTGTCTTCAGACGACATGTCCTAAAAGTAAACGTGGGTAAGTTGAATGACCTGAGCCTCCATTCCTCAGCTATCTGAAAAGCAGGGATAGTGCCACCCATCTTAGCAGTGTGTTGAGGGTGCGGAGCCTTTTGGCCGGGACTCACCGTGCCCACCATGTACCTTGCCATCCTCGTTCTGTGGGCTCATACTTTGAGTTCATCAGATGAGGTAGAGGGCAGGGGAGGGGCTCCTCTTACTGTCACCTCAGTCTGACCACATTCAGGACACTTGTTATAAATACATAAGTGAATGAAGAATAATTCTTTTAAGCTTTTACCTGTTCAGTCTCCAGGCTGTATTTTTTTTGGCCTGTTCCTCCCTCCCTCCCTCCCTCCCATGCCTCATGTGCCCCTGGAGGAATGGGCCCCCACTTCTCCCTTGGGAACCTGTGCTTCGGGGCCCTCTGTCTTCACCTCCTCCCTTTATCTCCCTTGATGACTTTCTCTCTTGCTGCTGCTCCCATGGCTCACCTCTTGCCCCGTTTGCCATTCTGCCCCGACTTTGTACTCCTAGAATCTTGAGGTGAATCCTCCTGTCTCTCCAGCCCTGCTCTGCAGCTGCTCCTGCTTTGTGCTGGCCCATCAGGTTCAGGCATCCAAATGGCAGCTCCTTGGCTCACCCTGACTCTGGTTTCTCCTGATGGTCGCAGGGGTCTTTGGGGTTACTCCAGTCCTCTTTCCTTCTTCCCTCACATCCCTCAGTCCTGCCTTTACAGCCCCTCCTTTCTGTCCCGGTTTTCTGCCCCCAAGCTGTGGACCCTGAGCTCCTATCGTGAACTGTGGCCTGTGCACTTGAAGCCCAGGTGGTGATGCATCACTGCATGGGTCGAAAGCGGCTTGCTTACTTAGCTGCTTCCCAAAGAGGGAACAGGCTGCTCGCTGGCCTTTAGATCTCCATGCCTGGCCCGGCCTGCCCTCCGTTCCCATTCACTGCCCTGGCCCTGGTGGATGTTGAGTGGGGACTTGTAGTAGGGAAGGTGGAGTCTTTGAGGGAAGGGGCGTCCGAGGCCACCAGACTCAGAGGGAAGCTTGCCATGGATTCACGTGGGGGCCAGCCGGGCAGCGTCGTCAATTAGCTCATAGCTGCGTCTCCACCGCAGGGTCCCATTCAGGTTGTTGAGGCGGGCAATGGTGAGGAAGAGCCGGGCGTGGGTGCTGGAGAAGAAGGAGCGGCACAGGCGCCAGGGCAGGTGAGTGCCAGACTGGGAACTGGCAGGGTGGGATGGTGGGGTAGGGGTGGGGTTGGAGGCCTGTTGCCATTAAGAGTTCCCTTGCATTTGAAGAGCCCAGGGCTGCTTTGATCTTTTTTTCTGAGACTGTCGTGTTCCTTTTCTGCACAGGGAAGTCAGACGTGATACCCGGTACACCGGCCGCAAGCGCAAGCCCCGCTTCTAAGTCAGCGCGCGGTCTGGACAGGCGCTTGCCTCCGTAGTTTTCTATACTGAAGTGTTCCGCTGACAAAGTAGTATGTTAGAAAAGTTCTAAAGTTCTAAAAACGTTTCCTGCAGTAAAAAAAGTTCTCTGGGCTGGCCATGGTGGCTCATGCCTGTAATCCCAGCACCTTGGGAGGCTGAGGCGGGAGGATCATTTGAGGCCAGGAGTTCTAGACCTGCCTGGGCAACATAGTGAGACCTCGTTTCTAGGGACAAAAAAATATATATATATATCTCTGTTTAAAAGCAAGAAGTAAAAATTCCTTTTGTGAAACTCTGGCATCTCCCAGCTCTGCTTCTCGCCAAACTTGGGTTCCTCTGTTGGGCTACTGCACGTCTTGTCCCCAGGCAGTTATTACGTTTAAAAAACTTCCATGCCTGAAAACATTCTTTGAATTTGCAAGGAACACAGTCCTTTAATTTGGGGCTTATATGACTATATCATCTCACACTAAGCAAAGTGGGGAAGAGGGTCCAGATGAAATGTTAGTGGTGCCCACTGGCCAGTCTCTGGTTTCCCTTGCTGTGAAGGCCTTGCCAGTCCAGCGGCCCCAGCCTTGCCTGTGGCACTGAGCTGCACACTCAGCTACCAACTAGTCTAGCGCTTGGATGTCTTGGGCTGATCTCTTGTCCCCTTGCTAGTGGTTGGAAAGGGCTGGTCCTGCTCTGGGTAGTATGGGACCATCCGGCAGGCTGTGATGGGAGAAGAGGTCTGCTGGTTGCTTGAGCCTTTTGGGCCATGTGGGAAGAGCGGCAATATCATGGGCATTGCGGTGCAGAACTGGATCAGGGCTGCAGTGGCTTAAGACATTTGGGAGTGGGTGCAGGGGCCAGAGGGGCTGGGCGTCTGGGAGAGGGGTGGGTGAGGCTCGGGGCATGAGGATCTCAGCCCCGCACTGGGGTCTCCTGCAGGTGTCAGATTCCAGGCCTTGAGCATGGCCTCTGGGCCTGTTCTCATGGACTAGGCCTGGCTGGGCTCCACTGCTCGGCCAGAGACAGGTCTGAGGAAGTTGAAGGCTCTGGGTGGGGTTGAGGCCGGGTTGGGACCCTCTGCCTCTGAGGCCTTCCTCTTAGAGCCACATCCATGCATCCTCAAGTTCTAAGACTGTGACATTACAGATGGCAAGAAGTCCAGAGCAGCCAGGCCAGGCGCAACCTGTGGTCCCAGCTCTGTGGGAGGCCAGCTCGGGCAATAGCAAGAACCCTCCTAGGGTCTCCCCCCAGAAGATCTGGGGAAAAAACCTAGAACAGAGGCCTGGTACAGATACAAATGTTTATTCTACATAAAAATTTCACAAAATGGGCAGCTGGTTGTACCAAGACCTTTGGTGAAGGGGGGTTCAGGGGAATCGCTGTAGAAGGCAACACGGACAGTGGTCACAGTCACTGGGCAGGAGTAAAGCCGAGGGAGGGCGGGGCACATGGACACAGCCCCATCCCCTGCTGCATGCACTCGCATGCATCTCCCTGCCTGTCCACGAGGGAGGGGGTCCTGGGGCGGGGGCACATTTCCCATGAGAAGCCCCAAGGTGGTGAGGAGGAGGAGGTAGCCCTCTCCGGCTGGCTGCTGAATACTGCATCCGGGACACCTGACACCCACATGGTACATTGATGGGGAACGGCAAGGGCTGGATGAGACTGCGGCTTGAAGTGACATCTGACTTCCCAGAGCGCAAGACAGCAGGGGCCACCATTCCAAACATGAAGCGCTGGCTCGAGGGCCTGACCGCAGCCTGCTCTGCCTCCCTAGCTGCTGGGGTGGCTTCCAGAGGGACACCTTGGGTCAGGCCCAGCCCAAGGGGTTGCTCCTGGGGCTGGAGGAATGTGGGAAGGGAAGCGGAGACCCCGGACCCGATGGACTTTGCCCCTCGGCAGGGGAGGGAGCCTGGAGCCACGGCAGCCTGAGCCTCCCTGGCAGTGATCAACAACTGAGGCTCGGAGCTGGGCTATCCCTCAGGGCCACCTCTCCCCTAACCTGAAAAGCAGCACCATGTGGCCAGCTGGTCCCCACCCCTCGGGGCCCTGCTTGTGGGGACAGCTGGAGAGGCCAGAGGACAGGGCAGGTGAGTTGGAGGCAAGGTTAGGTCCCCAGGGAAGAGTGGACCCTTGGAGCCACCGAGTCACTAAAGGCAAGGAAGGGTGGCCTGTGTCACCCTGGCGGCCCTGCCTGGGTCTGCCCCTCGCTGCACACACTGCGCCACGCCCTGCTGGCTGCCTCCCTCTGCCTCTTCCGTACAGACGCACACTCACAGAGATCATGCACACGACACGGGGCGGGGACGGAGGACCCATGGCAGACAAGGGAGCATGGGGGCTAGGAGGGAGGGTGCTCTGAGCCAGAGGCAGGGGTGGGGAGGGCAGCCCAGCCAGGCGGCAGCAGCCAGGGCCTCCTTGGAGTGGCCCACCCAGAGTGGAGTGGCAGTTGGGTGGCTTCTAGGCGAAGATGCCCCCAACCGTGGAGGCGATGACGATGCCCAGGATCACACAGCAGATGATGATCATGATTTTCTTCTGCATGGGGGGCGGGCAGGAGAGGCCTCAGACAGAGGTGGCGGCAGGTGGGGAGGGACTGTGGCAAAGGCTGAAGGCTTGAGAGTCGGGGGGATCCAAGTGCGGGAAGGTGATGGCCTGGGAGGGGGCTGTCATGGGGAGCTCCCAAGAGTTGGGGGAGAGGCGGGATGGGGAGAGATGTAGGATGGTTGGGGATCCCTAATGGGTGCTGGGGCATGGCTTGGGCAGGGCTGTGCTACTGACCCGGCGTGCCTTGCTTTGGTACTTGACGGCCTTCTTGGTGTCAGACACAGCCCTCTCCACGTAGTCCACCGCATGCTCCACATTGTACTCGATCCTGTCAATCATTTCCCCCTGCGGGGCCGGGGGCACCCGAGCTCCAGAGGGCCCCCTCCTCAGGGTTGGGTCGGGGCTCGGGGCAGGACTTCAGGAAAGCCTCCTGAGGCTAGAGAGAAAAAGGAGCATGAGGTGGACGGGATACAGCTGCTCTTGTGGGCCAGGCAGGCTCCCCAAGGCAGCTCCCACATCTCCCCCCAGAGCAGCAATCCTGGGGGTGGAGCTGGCCATGCAGTCTCAGCCGAGGGTTGGGGACCATGCAGAGAATACTCAGCGGGGGACTGACCCTGTGACAGGTGTTAGAATACTGTATCCGGGACATGTATTCTAACAGGCAGTGCCAGGCAGAGGAACGTGGGGGCAGGAGTGGGTGTGCTGGAGTCTGGGCTGCCCTGGCCATAGCTCCTGAAGTGACCACAGGTGAGCCTCCCCACGCCACCATCGATCGTCAGGCATGGCGGCTCCATCTAGCTCTGTCTGCTGTCTGGGGTCTTTAATCTTTAGGAACCCCCTTCCCAGCCCAACAGCCCTCCTGAGCCCTGTGATCCGGTCCCATGCTGCCCCTAGAGGCCAATCTGACCGTGACCATGCCCCACAAGACATCTGGGGTGTGTCTCCCTCTCCGAGTCCGTCCATCGGTCGCCTTCCTTGGCATCCCACATCACCATGGTCTGTTTCTCACCAGATGGCGGCAGCAGCAGCCTCCTTACAGCCTCCCTACGTCCTAACCGAGATCATGTCACTCCCATACTTAAAACGTTCCAATCTGGCCAGGTGCTGTGGCTCACATCTGTGATCCCAGCACTTTGGGAGGCTGAGGTGGGAGGATCACTTTGAGCCCAGGAGTTTGAGACTCGCCTGGGCAACACAGCAAGAGCCTGTCTTTTGCTAAAATAAAAAGCCTCTCAAACCCCCTCCAGTCTAGAAGAGACTGCAAATTCCCCAGCACTGCCTGCCAAGGCTCCGTCCACCCCTCGTCTCTGGCTTCATCTCAGCTCTGACCCCTCCTTGTGCCCTTGAGTCATGGGCCTCCTTTTTCTGTTCCTGAAATAAGTCAGACTCTTGCTGGGCTCGGGACCTTAGTGTTGCTGGGGCCAGCTCTTCATCTTCCCCCGGGAAGTCTGCACAGCTGAATCCTTTTCACTCTCTTCACCATCAGCTCAAATACCTCCTCCTGGGAGGCCTTCCTTGACCACTCACTGCAACCAGGGCGGCCACCCATCATGGTCGTGGTGTTACTCCAAGTGTGACTGGATCTGTGGCGGCAGCGGCGTCACCCTTGAGCCCGTCAGAGAGGCACCTTCCGGGGCCTCCACCTCACCTGCCAGCCTCTGCGACAGGGACCTGGAAACCTATCATAAGCCCTCCAGGTGGCTCATTCAAGTGTGAGCCCCAGTGGAGAACCTTCCATTTATTCTTAGGCAATTATTTTTGCCCAACAGGCATTCACTCCAGGAAGCAGGTCCCTCGGCTGTCCTGGTCACTGCTATGCCTTCAGTCCCTGGGGAAATGCCTGGCCCACAGGGGCCCCATGAGGAAACAGTAGGGGAAGGAGAGACATTGGGGGGTGGGGGGTGGGGCCATGCAGGGCCTGGGGTCCTTGAAGTCCAAGCAGAGCCATGCAGAGGACAGGGGCCTTCCTGGGGGCAGGGCCCTGGCGGCAGTTTCAACAGGGGGCGAGTGGTTACCTGAGAATTTGGTCCCTCCCCGGCAGGGCAGCGTGTCGGGCAGAAAGGGCGAGGTTAGGGCAGCCCCAGGTGCTGCTGCAGGCTGGAGTGGAGGACGGGGGCCCAGCGCTCACCTGGCTCTCCACGAGCATGGCCATGTCCATGAACATATCATGCAGCTCGCGGATGCTGTTCTCCAGCTTAATGATCTCGCTGTGCCGCGTCTCAATCTCGCTCAGAGCCTGCTTCGAGATGCTGGAGTCCATGATGATCTGGGGGTGGGAGCAGGGGGCTGGGACCCAGAGGCCTGCTGAGGGACAGGGCAGAGGGCCAAGGGCGAGGGCGGCTGGCAGGGGCAGAGCTGCTCCTGAGGGGGGCCCAAGGCTTCTTCCTGAGCCACCGCCCTCCCGCCTTGCTCTCTGGCTCTGCCACCTGCTAGCTGTTACCTAATTTCTCTGCGACTGTGCTCCTACCAGTAACCTGGGGCTACTGACACTCCCCACCCGGGCTGGCCAGAGAGCAAGTGCTCGGTGACAGTCCGTATCAGCAGCGTTTTGCAGAGCCCAAGTTGACTGCCCCGTGGACTCGGGCCTGGAACCGTTTTTCTCTCATCCCTTCCCCATCCCTTCCCCAACACTCAATGTGCTGCCTCTCCCCTCTCTCCTGGAACTCACAGCCCCGAACCTGCCTCGAACATCTGTGTGCCACCTCCTTCAGGGAGCACCCCTGCTCGGCTTCACGTGAACGCAGTGATGGCCAAATGTCCTCCAGGAGGGGAAAGGGCCCAAGGATAAGAGGAGGAGCCCCTGGCTGCCGGCGAAAGGAAGTGGATGCAATTGGGAGCATTAGGAGACAGGGATCTTGAGTCCACCTTTGCCACCGACATTTGTGTGACCTCAGCCTGGTGTTTTCCCCTCTCTGGGACTCTTCCTTCCCTAAAACCTGCCTTACAAAGGGTCTGTGTCCGACTACTGTCCAGACCCAACACTAGGGAACGTCGTCGTGGGGAACATGGTGTGGGGGTCATGGCAGGAGGGGTGGGGCCCACACTCACACCAGAGGCAAAGATGGCCGGGTTCCCACTCTCCAGCATGTCCTCCAGCTCCTCACTGGTTGTGGTCCTGCCAGCTGCAAGCGAGAGGGGTCACACTGAGCCCAGCCCTCTCCGGGGAGCTCAGTAGCACCAACGAGCCCCGCCCCCTCCAGTCCCAGGCCCGGCCCCCGACCAGCTGGAAGCTCAATCGCAGCCTGGGGTCCCACCCCTCGAGTCCCTAACTCAACAGCAGCCTCGGGCCCGCCCCTTCGGCCCCTAACTCAGCAGGTGCCTCGGCCCCGCCCCTCTAGTCCCTAACTCAGCCCCAGCCTCGGCCCCGCCCCGTCGGCCCCTAACTCAGCAGGTGCCTCGGCCCCGCCCCTCTAGTCCCTAACTCAGCCCTGCCTCGGGCCCCGCCCCCGGCTCACTGATCTCCAGTTGCCTCTGGATGCGGCCCTTGCAGCGCTCGCGGTAGTCGGACTGTGTGGCGTTGTACTCCGACATGACCTCCACAAACTTTCTGGATAGCGTGGAGTGCTGGGGGACCCAGATGGAGGTGCAGGTGTCAGGCCCTGCAGGGACCGACCCAGAAACTCAGGTGCCCGCCCACCCTAGACTCCCGGGCCGTACCTGTGTCTTCCGGATCCTCAGGTCAGCGGAGGAGCGGTTCAGGCCTTCCTCCTGCTCGATGGACTGCTCGATGCCTGCGGGCATGCGTGGCTGCCGAGTCACAACCAGCCCCCTTCACCCTCGCCCCCGACCCGCACACCCAGCATCTATCCCCCTCCTGACCGCCCCCGAGGTGTGTGTGTGTGTGGCCTGTGGCTGGTGGGGTCAGTGCCAGGCACTGATGGAGGAGGGGCCTACAAAGGCCCTTCCAGCTGTGACGCGGTGTTCTGTGTGCACGTGTGTGAATGCACACCTCCAAGCTCCGCATGTGCGTGATGTCTGGTAGATCTGGCCACCCTGCGCCTCGGTTCCGTCCCCTTACTGCTCAGAGAGGCTGGCTGTGTAGGAGGGGCCATGTCCATAGTGGGGAGAGCCAAGGGTGGAGCATGGGGTGTGCGTGTCTGGGTTCACCCAGCATACGGGGCTTCCACGTGAGACCAGGAAGTGCTGGCCACTTCTTTAACCCTCTTTAGCAGAAGTGAGGGGCAGTGCCCGCCCAGAGTGGAGTACTCCCTCCACAAAGCCTCAGGCGGGTGTGTCCCTGGGCCCAGCCCAGAGCCTGGCACCAATGGGCCTTGCCAAGTAGCTGTTGAGTGAATGGGCACATGACATCACCCTCAGAAAGGAAAGCAAGATCCGGTGCACCCCCTCAAGGCAAGCAAAACCCCATGGGCTACCCAGAGGAAGCAGGCCTAGAATACCCCCACCTACCCCAGACAAGCCTGACTCACTCTTTAACTTGGATCGGACTTTGTTCGCTGTCTTCTTTATGTCCGACATGAGTTCTTCCAGCTCCTCCTTCGTCTCTGGGGAGGGAGAAAGAGTGGGGGTAGACTCCCTAGGCTCCCCCAAGGACTGATGTTCAGGCTCAGCCTCCGACATGGGGGACCCAACGGGGGACTCTCAGTAGATCCCAGTTCTCTCCTGTTCCCCTGGCTAGGGCTCTGCCTGTCCCCCCCAATTCTGGACCAGGGCCACACCAGCTGCAGCCTCACCCCCTCTTGTGCTGTCTTCGGAGGAGCCTCCCTTCCTCCTTCGCCGGCGCCCCCACCCCCTGGAGATAACAGATGGGTCTAAATTTAAGGCAGAAATAATTGTGGAGCAGCTGGCGATGCTGGAGTTGGCGCAAGGAACAGGGACTTGATGCTTGTTGGAGTTGAAGGTGGGGGGTTCGGGCTCACCTGGTGTTACCTAGCGGCTCAGGAGGGCACACAGCCCAGCCAGGGGGCTGACAGGGGACCAGGGGTGGCAGAAAGCCTCCCCCACCTCGCGCTTCCCGAGTTGCAGGCTCCAACACTCTGGGTGGGGCAGACAGCTATTTCCACAAAGCTGCGCCTCCCTGGGTGCTAAGTGCCTGGCAGGTGGAAGCGGACAAGGGTCGGATGGCCTGGGTGGGCGCTGATGTGGGCCCTCAGGTTCAAAGAGGTGGGCACGGTCGGCCCTGGCCGTGGCAGGTAGCTGGGGCCCTGGTGAAGTTGGAGGAGGGTGGGTAGTGTGTGGCCCTTGTTCCGGCTAGAACCATCTCCGTAAAGCTGGCAGAGGCCGTGGGGGTGCCCAGCTCGCCCCCTCCCTGAGAGGAGCTGGCTGGAAAAGTGGGACAAGACAGCTGCCTCCCCTGGGGGTGCTCCTGGCAACACCCCAGACTCAGGACACCCCCAGGACTCCGCCCTGGGAGAAGCTGGGACTGAGCTCCGGCTGTCACCTTCCCACCCGCCCCTCCGCCTGCCTCTGGGGCTGGGGTTTGTCCTAGAGGGACGGGGAGGGGTGCTGGCAGAGGTCTATGAGGAAGGCCTCGGATGGGGTCACCTCTCAAGTGGAATGCGACGGGGTGGAGCACGGAAGAGGGGGTTCCGAGGCGCGGAGGAGGGCGCCTCATCCGTAGGAACAAAGGAAAACTCGGTTACCAGCTGCTCTGACGTCTCAGCCTCTTTTGCTCAGACCCAAAATAGCCCAGGCCGGATGGCAGCCCCGAGGAGGCAGAGCCCGCCTTGCCCGGGAGAGCCCCCCACTCACTGCCGTCTTTCCTCGAGACTTCTCCTTAAGTCTGCACCACCTGTGCCCTAGAACCCCCAACATGAGCCCCCTCCCCTTGGCGCAAGCCTGGGACTCCACCAGGTCTCAACTGCTCAGCTCACGGGTGGTGACTCAGAACCGCCAGTCCACGTGACTGTGCTTGACACCGAGGTGGGAGACGGTGCAGGAGGTGGCCTGCGGGAACCCAAGGTATGGAGCAGACAGCTCTGTTGCCCCACGCCCACCCCACCTGCCCGCAGTGACAGGCCCGCTCCCCTGCTCTTTAGAGCCCTCTGTCCCCACCCCACAATCAGCCACCTCCTGACCCTGAGCAGGAGCAGCCCCACACAGGGACACACGCACACGGTGACCCAGATACCTCCAGACGCACGGGCATCCGTGCCATCCAACAAATCTCTCGGGCAAGGAGCGCAGCATGGTGAGCCCTGGGCGTCCCTCTCTCCCTCCTGGCCTTACTGAGGCCATCCACCCTGCTCCCACCTGACCTATTTTGCCTTCCGAGGGTGGGGCACTGGCGTGATTGGTGTGATCTCCACCTCGGTTCATGCACTGTGGAAAGATTTACTCTGGGTTCTTGAAGATGCCCAAGTGGGCTTGGGGGTGAGAGGGTATGGACGGGGAGGCCGTGCTGGAAGTGAGAACATTTGAGCCCGGGCGCCTGGGTGGTCACGGCCTTCCTCCCTCAAACACCTGACTGCTGCATCCCGGGGACTCCGGGTGAGCCCCCCTCCAGAGGAGGGGACCCAGGCGGGCCTGCACCTATGCCATTAGCCTGGCATCTCTCAGGAGGGTGACCAACATCACAACAGGAACGAGAGGGCCAGGTCAGGGGGACCTGTCTGGGGGCAGAGTGCAAGCCTGACCCACACAGGCTCCCAGCCCGGATGGAGAGGGGTGACTTCCCGGAGCCCTGAGAATGACCGCCCCTGGGGTGCCACGTGGCCAGGGGCCAGGGCTGCCAGCTCTTTCCGGAAGCTCTGCCTGCTTGGCCAGCTTGCCCTCCCACAGCGCTGACGCCTCAGAGCTGCCATCTGCTCCCCTGGGAGTCGAGGGGAGGGGCGGGGCTGGGCTGAGAGGGTTCCTATCGATCACAGACAGATCCCTCCTTCCCTCCCTCGCTCCCAGAAGCCTAGGGCTGCAGCCAGCCTGGTTGCCTTAGAAAAAAGCCAGTTCACCGGGTACGGTGGCTCAAGCCTGTAATCCCAGCACTTTGGGAGGCCGAGGCGGGTGGATCACGAGGTCAAGAGATCGAGACCATCCTGGTCAACATGGTGAAACCCCGTCTCTACTAAAAATACAAAAAAATTAGCTGGGCATGGTGGCGCGTGCCTGTAATCCCAGCTACTCAGGAGGCTGAGGCAGGAGAATTGCCTGAACCCAGGAGGTGGAGGTTGCGGTGAGCCGAGATCGCGCCATTGCACTCCAGCCTGGGTAACGAGAGCGAAACTCCGTCTCAAAAAAAAAAAAAAAAAAAAAAAAAAAAGATAAAAGCCAGTTCGCCTGGGAAGGGTGGGGCCGATGGCCTCTCCCACCACCCAAGTCTTCGTGGAGACCTGGTCTGGCTGGCCTGGGATGCTGGATACTGACCCAGGCTGGGAACAGCAGCATTTCCCAAAGCTTCTCATGAAACCCTTCCGACCCTGGCCAGCCCAGGCACACCTAAGCCCACCAGCCATAAAGGCTGCTGAGGTCCTGTGAGGCCTCCCTGGCAGCAGCCCCTTCGGGAGACCTGTGGGGCCTGAAACCTGTCCCCGACCCCACACTCACTCTCATCGGGGTTGGGGGAGGCCAGAATGGCGCTGTGCTTCCGCTTCACCTCCTCCACGTTCTCTGCGATCTTGTCAATGAAGCCTCGAATCTCCTCCACCTGCGGACCAAGGCCGGGTGGTCAGGAGGCGGAAATCAGGGGAGGAGGCTTCTGGGGCCCAGGGCTGGCCCAGAGCAGGGCTGCGGTCAGGGCTCAGGGACAGGACGGGCAGGCTCCAGGTACCGGGGTGCGGTGGGGTGTGTCCTTCCAGACCCAGATGGGGAGGAGTGCGATCCCAGATTTAGCTCTGCTCTGAGCTTCCATCTATTCACCCTCGAAACGGTTCATTCATTGGCACCCCAGAGCTGCTGAGCCGGGTGCGGGTTTGCGAGAGGCCCCCCGAGGTCTGCCAGTGTGCGGGGCGGGTGGGGTGTGCTGGCTCCCACCTGCTCGAAGAACTCATCCATGAAGCGGTCTCGGTCCACGGTGACGGCGACGTCATCATCATCGTCGCTGTCCTTGGCCTGTGCGGGGTTGTGTACACATGATCGGATGTGTGTACAGGACCCACCCGTACGCGCGCAGGTGCCCAGGGTGCAGCGCCGGAGCCCCACCCCTCCCCCTCTCCCTGGAGGCCTCTGGGCAGGGACAAGAACAGGCCTGGCTGTGCCCTCCGCTCTCAGCTGCAGGAAGATCTGGAGGACCACTGGGGTCTGGGCAGAAAGAGAGGAGCCTTCCCTGGCACGCTGGTGTCAAGGCCGAGACTCAGTCTCTGGGCCAGGGATTCCCTCCCTCACCTACCTGCCCGCCCTCCCACTGCGGCTGGGGAGGCAACCAAGCCTGGGGCCAGCCCCTCTGTCTGGGCCCTCCGGGTCCCCTAGGCCCTTGGGACAGCTGCCTGGAAAGAGCATTCTCTACTCTCCTGGCCAGTGGTTTATACACACACGTGTGCGCGCACACATGCACGTGCATCCCCACCCACCCACACACATTTTTAGAGTGGAAGTCTTGCTGTGTCACCCAGGCTGGAGTGCAGGGGTACAATCACAGCTCACTGCAGCCTTAAACACCTGGGCTTAATTGATCCTCCCACCTCAGCCTCCCAAGTAGCTGGAATTATAGGTGTGCACAACCACGTGTGGCCCCAGTGGTTTTAATTCGGTGGAGCCCAGGGGTCCCAAGCTCCCTTTCCAGAGTGGGCCCCGTAATGGGAAGGAAGCCTGCCCACTCCGTCCCAGGCCTGGGCACCACTAAACCCCAGCCCAGAGGTGGGATGGCTCAGAAGATCTCTTAAGAGTATCTTAGGCCGGGCGTGGTGACTCACACCTGTAATTCCAGCACTTTGGGAGGCCGAAGCGGGTTGATCACAAGGTCAAGAGATCAAGACCATCCTGGTCAACATGGTGAAACCCCGTCTCTACTAAAAATAGAAAACATTAGCTGGGCATGGTGGCGCGTGCCTGTAATCCCAGCTACTCAGGAGGCTGAGGCAGGAGAATCGCCTGAACCCAGGAGGCGGAGGTTGCAGTGAGCCGAGATCGCGCCATGGCACTCCAGCCTGGGTAACAAGAGCGAAACTATCTCAAAAAAAAAAAAAAAAAATTTCTTGTCCATCTTTTTGTAAAATCATTTTTAAACTTAATTTTCATTTTTGTAGAGATGGTGGTTGGGGGGGGGGTGTCTCACTATGTTGCCCAGGCTGGTCTTGAACTCCTGGCCTCAAGTGATCCTCCTGCCTCAGCCTTCCAGAGTGCTGGGATTATGGGTGTGAGCCGCTGCACCTGGCCTCCCTGTCAATCTTGACACTGTACCTCACTCTGCCTCCTTCCGCCCCAGACCTGGGCCCAGCAGGCATGAGGGGTCAGTCATGTTGCCACTTGGCTCGAGTCCTGCCTTAGGCCTCAGCCACAGGTGCAGGCCCCACCTCACCGCCCAGGAGCTGCTGTACAAAAGCCACCCCCATCATGGGGAGGGGGTAATTATACTTCTGACTTCCTGGCATGCTGGACATGGTCATTACTGTCTACCTCACACCATGAGTCGGGCAGGGTCAGCCCACCCTGCTGGCAAGGCCAGCGTCTCTCTCTGCAGCCAAGGCAAGGCTATCCAGGGTGGCCATTCTGGGTCAGGGACTGACGTCTCTCAGCCTGGGTGTCAGGGCTTGTTCCTACCTGATTTTTTTTTTTTTTTGAAAGAGAGTCACTCTGTTGCCCAGGCTGGAGTGGAGTGTTGTGATCTCGGCTCACTACAACCTCCACCGCCTGGGTTCAAGCAATTCTCCTGCCTTAGCTTCCTGAGAGAGTAGTTGGGACTACAGGCCTGCGCCACCACACCCGGCTAATTTTTGTATTTTTAGGAGAGATGGGGTTTCACCATGTTGGCCAGGCTGGTCTCGAACTCCTGACCTCAAGTGATCCACCTGCCTTGGCCTCCCAAAGCGCTGGGATGACAGGCGTGAGCCACCTCACCTGGTCTTGTTCCCACCTCATTTCTGACTGCCTCACGGGAGAGGCCACTGCCTGGCCCAGCACTGACTCCACCTTGGTGCTGTCTTGTCAGGATGGAGGCAGGGGGGCTGAGAGTGAGGGGACTCATCAGGCTGGGCCTTGACCCCTCTGGCTGTTTGCTCTTCTGTGCAATGGGGACAGTGACACCTGGCTGCATGGAGGGAGGGCTGTGGGGAAGCAGGGCATGTTTGTTCGTTTGGTTGATTGATTGATTGATTGAGACAGGGTCTTGCTCTGTCACCCAGGCTGGAGTGCAGTGGCACAATCACAACTCACTGCAGCCTCGACCTCCCAGGCTCAAGATATCCTTCCCCCTCAGCCTCCCAAGCAGCTGGGACCATAGGGGCATGCTGCCACACCCAGCTAATTTTTTTGGTTTTTATTTTTTTTGTAGAGACAGGGTTCAACTGTGTTGCCCATTCTGGTCTCAAACTCTTGGGCTCAAGTGATCTTCCCATCTTGGCCCCCCAAAGTGCTGGGAGTATAGGTGTGAGCCACCGCGCCCGGCCTGAGCATGTTCTGTGAGGGGCTGTGCCCCTGGGGCTCACAGCTCCCATCACACCAGCAAAGTGGGGGGACTCATTGGGAGAGGGGGTGGGTGGGGGCTTTGATAGAGGCGGCGCAGAGGGGCCTCCTCTCTTCAAGATATCACACCACCTCCCCAGCAGCTAAAATAAATTCTCGTTCCTGCTCCCCACCAAGTGCCTGTGGCTGTCACCAGGTGGCACCCCTCCCTCACCAAGCCCCCCCCACAAATCCAGGAGCCGTTTTCACGTTTTAGACCGTGACAGGCCCAGGAGTTGAGTCAGAGGAGCCCTCCCTAGGGAAACCGAGGCAGAGCACAGCCAGGAGGAGCCCAGTTCCTCCTCCCGGGCAGCCTGCCAGGTTGGGAAGGGGCCCCGGGAGTTCCTGCCGTCCCGCATCCTGCCCTCTCTTCCCTGGCGCTCAGAGGACGAAGGTGGATGACGAAGGGTGGGAGGAGAGTTTGCCAGCTCCTCTCCTGTAGCCAGAGACAAGAGTCACTGCCAGCCCCACCAAACCCCTGTCCTGCCCTCAGAGACCCCTGGACATCCGGCTGGTGCCTGTCTTGACCTCAGCCTGCCCATCTGTGTAGTGGGGGGCGTATCTTCTCCAGGCATCTGGCCAGCTCTGACTTGCTACCTCCCAAAAGGCTGAAGACTGAACGAGGAAGCTTCTCTAACAGAAGGGCTGGCAGGAGAGATGCCCACACCCTCCTCTGGCCCCTCCGTCTATGGGGGTCGGGCTGGGGAAAGGGAGACCAGGGCCGGGGTCTGATGGGGGCACCCAGGTCAGGTCTACCCTGGAGGTGGCACTGAGATTGGCCCCTAAGCCAGCTGGAGGGCTGAGGGCCTGACCTCTCAGCCAGGGTCAAGCCAGCCACGGCTCCAAGCATAACCTAGAGGGGCCGGGCCAAGGGGACCCTTCCTCCCCGGGTCGTCCTCCTTCTTCGGTCTTGGGAATTGTCACCCCCAGCTTTGCTCTTGATCCTGCTGCCCTAGCCTGGGATCAGACCCCACCACACCACACCTACAACTGGCTCCTGGCCCTATAATCCCCCCTCTGTCCCCCAAGCTTCCCGCAGGCACATCCCTCTGCCCGGGATGCGGATTCCACAAGCGTGACAGTCCCCTCTTCCTCATATGCCACCTCCTTCCAGAAGCCTCCCTGTACCCCCAAATTAGTATCTTGTACCTCGTTCTTCCACACACCATTCACATTCCTATTAGAGCCATGGCCAAAGACTCTCAGGCTCTAAGGGACCTGAAAAATCTCCTTGGCGTTAGCTTCAGCCCTCAGTTTGCATACCTCCTGTGACGGTGAGCTCCCTAGCTTTCCCAAACAGCCTGGCCCATCTCCGGCAGCCCCAGCTATTAGAGTCCTTCTCTTTTCTGTGGTTTGGTTCTAGGCCATAAAGAACTTGTGGGTGCCCCCTCCCTGGGGTGCCCGTGCTATAGATGGGAAGGCGGCAGGCATCCACAGCCTCCCTAGATTTTTCTTCTCAAGTTAAGTATTCCTTCCCTGGGACCCCAAATTATAGCGCCTGCCCAAGACTTGTTGGACTGTGCTTCTGTCTCCTACAGGATAGCACACAAACGGAATCTGCTGCTGACTGTGGTCTGGCCAATGCCAAAGAGCTGGCCTATCCCCTCCCTCTTTCTAAGTGGTCTACCTCTATTACTACAGCCAGAGATCAGATAAGCGATCACGTAGCGCTTCCTGTCAAGGAAAGCCCCAAGCCCTTGCCAACCACTGTCTGTGGAGTGGATTTGGGGTTCACGTGAAGCACCTTTTTTTTCGGTTTCATTTCTTCATTTGTTCCGATGCTTATTTCAGATTGTGGGATTCTGATGGCTCCTGACTCTGTTGTCCCCTGCACCCTCATCCACATCCAAGCCAGAGCCCAGTAGCAACGTTCTGGAGATGTCCTCCAGATTCACTCAGACATGTAATCAGCTCTCGCTGGGCGAGGTGGCTCACACCTGTAATCTCAGCACTTCGGGAGGCCGAGGCAGGCGGATCACCTGAGGTGAGGGGTTCAGGACTAGCCTGGCCAATATAATAATATTTTTTTTTTTTTGAGACGGAGTTGCGCTCTTGTGACCCAGGCTGGAGTGCAATGGCACGATCTCGGCTCACCGCAACCTCTGCCTCCTGGGTTCAAGCAATTCTCCTGCCTCAGCCTCCCGAGTAGCTGGGATGACAGGCACGCGCCACCATGCCCAGCTAATGTTTTGTATTTTTAGTAGAGACGGGGTTTCACCAAGTTGACCAGGATAGTCTCGATCTCTCGACCTCGTGATCCACCCGCCTTGGCCTCCAAAAGTGCTGGGATTACAGGCTTGAGCCACCGCGCCCGGCAGTATTTTTAGTCTCTACTAAAACTACAAAAATTAGCCGGGCGTGGTGGTGCCTGCCTGTAATCCTAGCTACTCGGGGGGCTGGGGCAGGAGAATCGCATGGACCTGGGAGGCGGAGGTTGCAGTGAACTGAGACCG